GATGATTAAAGTGCGTGAGCTTTTCCGCGATACTAATTCCACGGAGTTTGTCATAGTAACAATACCCACGGTAAGATCTTTGAAAATGTGGTTTGATACTGGATGTTTGTGATTTTTGTGTAAATGTTGTTTTCCTTTATGCTGTAATTTAATATGTTATCAGTTCACTTTGATAGAGATCTGTTTACTTGATTTATATTCTACAATGTAGAATTTAATCTTGTAAAAAGATGGATCCCTGCATATTATATTTCCTCTTTTTTCCTTCCTAGCGAGCATCATTTGCTTGGAAGTTGGCTAAATATGTCCAATGTTGGATGAAAAATTTGCTTCTCATCGATTGTTCACACTTTTTTTTTCTTGTTCTTGCACAAGGTGACGGCAGTCAGTGAGTCATCTAGGTTGCATGCCACTTTGAAGAAGGAAAGTGTTCGTGTGAATCGACTTATTGTTAATCAGATTCTTCCCCCATCTGCCTCAGACTGCAAATTTTGTTCAATAAAACGAAAGGTATTAATCTACTCTCCTTTTAATTTCGGGTAGGAAATGCATTCACCCTCCGTGCTTTTGGCAGAATGTGTGTGTTTTTTTATGGCATCTAGTAAAATGATGTTTTGATGAAACTAATAACCAGTTGAATGCAAGAACTGCCCAGACCGTGCTACTATGGCAATCCACATGTAGGCTATAGTCAAAATTCCAATTAGAGCAGGGATAAGGCAAGAGACAATAAAAAGGCGATCAGTTGGATTCTTGTTTGATCTACATTCGCATGAGCATCAAACTGCCCAATCCCAATTTAATTAGGCTCCAACTCATATATCCTCCAATATGGTTCCATCATTCAATAACATTATCAAAAGCCTTAAACTCATTTGTCAACCCAACTCATCATCCTACTTAATTCATCATGTGCAACAGAGAGTCGAACAATGCTTTTTATAGGTGCTACTTACTGTAACCGCTTCAACCTTAAAAAAAAACTGAAAACGTTTCACAAGTAAAACAAATATCATTCCAAATACACAGCACTTGCTGCCATGATTAGTTTCATATCAAAATTCAGATGTAAAAGCCAGATACAAAATACATGTAAACGTGAAGGAAATACAAAGTCTACCACAGTTCTATCATAATTCAGTGATATTTTAAATTAAATGACAGTCCTTTGGAAAAAAACAAAACACCCCCATCTTTAGAGACCAAAGCAACACACAACCTTCACGCCACACAAAACCCGCTTCATACTTCACTTTCTATTCTATTTTCTTGGAAACCAAACAGAATAGTCTAAAAGCAAAGCATAACATATGTACATACATTCTAATATGTAATCACGAATACGTATCTATGAGTGTGTCTCATTTTGAAATAATAATCAATAAATACATTGAACCGTGAAGAATTCAGAAAATGAAAAGTGAAAGTGTTTGAAAAAAAATTAAAAAAATAAGGGAACTTATAGTTACATTCCGAGGAGATGGAGATGGATCGCGTCATTCAGAAAAACCCTAGCCTTAGCTTGATCCACGAAGAGAGGGAAAATTCAGTGTAGGAATCAAAGCAAAACCAAAATCCTAAGATTGATTTTTGGGTTTCTTTAGCGCAAATTTGTATTCGAATATCTATAGATTTTAAATATTAAAATAAATTTTAAAGAGTATTTAATTATATACTGGGATCTTTTAAAAAAAAAACCAAAATATTTTCCAAATTTTTTTTTATCGATAAGAGTAGTTTAGAACATTATTCATTACTATTTGGCCATTATCAGAGTCTCTATTGTCTCCTTTTGATTTTTAACGAGCATTTTCCCGTTTAACACTTGTATTATACATATACGTACATATTTTTTTAATAATACTTTCGTTTTGCGTACACATCTTAAAGACTTAGTACAATTAATACACGTATGTACATATTTTTCATGTTTAATACACTTATTTTTTAACAAAATTGTCAATAATACATACAAAATTCAAGTATTATACACATTAAATTATATTAAAATATTATATGGTGGTCGAACTTTTTAGTTCCAGAAAATTTTCTTTTTAGTAATTAAATAATATCTTAGACTTATTTAATTATTATTTCTTTAGTGAATAATTAAATACTTTAATTAACTTAATAAATGGTAATTATTATTTTTATTTAGTCAAATATTTAAATACTAATTATTCACTAATTAAATAGTAATTAAAAAAGAGAAATCAAGAGTATGCTATTCAATGGGTATAGCCGGGCGGCTATACTTTAAAAATATTCTATTTAAAATATGCTTTTCAAAATTTTCTTTTTTACTCGTTAAATAATATTTTAGCCTTGTTTAAATACTTTCATTAGTGACTACGGTTTAATTATTATTTCTTTAGTGAGTAATTAGCATTAAATATTTTAATGAAAATCCTAGAAATTTAGTTTTTGTACCCAAAATATTTTAGTATTCAAAAAATGGATTTTAGCCACGAAACTTAAATCCAAATCACAACGTGATTCGATAATATCAACTGCTTGTTGGAGTTCAATTGAAATACATGAACTTGAGTCCCACAATGGAAAAGAAGATAAAGTATCTACTCCTTAGTAGGCTTATGGTTAGGGTTTGCTTAAGAAAGCTTTGGGACAATTTCGGAAGCTAAGGCATTTGGTTCGAGACTTGGATTTACCCAAACTAATTTTGTGAAAACAAAGTCCATAATTAATTACTATTCATTAAGTAATTTATGAAATGAGCAAAATATTTAAATATTCACTAAAGAAATAATAATTAAACATAATTATCAATTAAAGTAATTAAAAAAAAAGTCTATGATATTACCTAGTTACATATATTAAACTAAAGAAGTTGGCTAAAAAATAAAATTAAAGAAACTAATTTTACATGTTTAAAATAAATAAAAATAAAAATAATTTAAAAAAAGAAGAAAGAAAACCTCTCTCGATGAAAGTTCGTCGGGACAGGTTTATTCGGGCACCTTTTCACCGGATTAGAGTTCTTTCGACGAATTTCGTCAGCAGAGGTTGTTTCGTCTGGACATTTCTTATACATGTGCCGACGAAAGTTCGTCGGGAGAGATTTTATTTAAAAACAAATATAAATTTAGTATCTTTTAGGTCCAATAAATTTTATTTTTATTAATTAAATAATATCTTAGACTTATTTAATTATTATTTCTTTAGTGAATAATTAAATACTTTAATTAACTTAATAAATGGTAATTATATTTTTTATTTAATCAAATATTTAAATACTAATTATTCACTGAGTAAATAGTAATTAAAAAAGAGAAATTAAGATTATGCTATTCAATGGGTATAGCCGGGCGGCTATATGTTTAAAATATTCTATTTAAAATATCCTTTTCAAAATTTTCTTTTTTATTCATTAAATAATATATTATCCTTGTTTAAATACTTTCATTAGTGATTAAGTTTTAATTATTATTTCTTTAGTAAGTAATTAGCTTTAAATATTTTAATAAAAATCCTAGAAATTTAGTTTTAGTACCCAAAATATTTTAGAATTCCAAAATGGATTTTAGCCTCAAAACTTAAATCTAAGTCACAATGTGATTCGATAATATCAACAGCTTATTGGAGTTTGATTGAAATATATGAACTTGAGTACCACATTGGAAAAGAAGAGAAAGTATCTACTTCTTAGTAGGCTTATGATTAGGGTTCAAGGCTTGAGAAAGGTTTGGGAAAAATTTCGGAAGCTAGGGTTTTTGGTTCGAGACTTGGATTTACCCAAACTAATTTTGTGAAAATAAAGTCCATAAGTAATTACTATTGATTAAGTAATTTATGAAACGAGCAAAATACTTGTCACAACTGTCGGGTTATTTTCTATTATTTTTATCCCTTGCGCGTACCTGAATAGATTAATTTAACATAGAAATAACTATTTTCGGTTGAAAGGTTAAAGAGCATGCTGTTAAAATTGCCAACGCCATAGATGGGGAAGATCTGGTGAGAGGAGCAGTGAATGCCTTTCATAGGCACTTTCCTCACAATAAATCTGAGGATAAACCCGAGTCATTGTTGGCTAGAAGAGGCTTATTTTCCATCAGGAGGTGTTTTGGCTACTCCTCCTCCTACACATGATTCTTCATTAGTCCACATCGATGTTTGATTCCTATCATGTGCAAGACATCAGAAATGTGAAATTCTGTTATCCTCTTAGTAGGTTACTTAACATTACATCGTTTTTGTTTTGCTCGTCAAACAAATCTTCTACAAATGCCTTTGTTTTGATTATTAGTTAATGTCTATTAGGGCCACTTCCGCCAGGACAGTAAAAACTGTGATTGGAAGTGTTTTTAATACACTGAGAAAGATGTGATGCTTTGGTAGGGAGCTTGGAAATTTACAAAGCTGAACGATTCTTCAAGAGACTTAAGAACTATATTGATGGCTTAAAAATAAAGTCGTTGGCCGCTGCACTATACAAACACAGTTTCTTTCTTAGTCTTGCAACCCTATGCACTTGCCTCTCTCAATTTACAGCATTATCTACAAACTAGACATCATCAAGCAAAAGATTACTAGAAAACTCTAGCCAGATCATTCCCCATTCCGGCAGGTAGAATAGCAACTAGAAGAAGAGACACAAAAGTTTTGCTTTTCTATGGTGCGACATCTTTCTGAATAAATAAAGACCCACCTCCGGTCCTTGTGTTGAGGTCAGCTCAAAAACCTACATGATGAAGAGAACGACAATCAAGCCAAGAATCCCACTATCTCAAGTCAACCTCCAATCACAACGTGGTTGGTACAATTTATGTACAAATCCCTGTAATCATGTATTTTCCTCTTTTGTTATAGTTGACCACCGCTAGAATCCTGTATATATGGTGTATCTCAATATGAATCAAATCATCGAGTGATTCAACCCAAACTTCTCTCTTGTCTATTTTTCTACACATGAAACACAAGCAATGCAACAATCAAGCAACAATTTATGATACATCCGAAATAATAATAGAGGAATAGGTTCACCAAACTCCATTGAAATCAACTGAGGAGATATTAACAGCTTGATGAGTATCAGCTGTGCTTTCTGTGGGCATACTGCCAGTACTACCACTAGTTCCCGTGTCAACAGAGGTTTCATTTCCATGCTTGGACTTGTTGTTCTAACTACGAATACATATCTATGAGTGTGTCTCGATTTTTTAGTAATAATCAATAAATACATTGAACCGTGAAGATTTCAGAAAATGAAAAGTAAACTGTTTGAAAAAAAAAATAAGGGAACTTACAGTGACATTCCAAGGAGATGGAGATGGATCGCACCGTTCAGAGAAAACCCTAGCCGTAGCTTGATCCATGAAGAGAGGGAAAATTCAGAGTGTAGGAACCGAAGCAAAAACGAAATCCTAAGATTAATTTTTGGGTTTCTTGAGCAAAAATTTGTATTCGAATATACTTTTAAAATATTAAAATAACTTTTAAAGAGTATTTAAATCTATACTAGGTGTTATATAACTAGGGAAAATTGTAGAGAGAATTGGAAAGTAGAGAAAGACAATAGAATTTGTGTCAATCAACTTCTATATCTCATCCGTGTAAGACCTCTTATTTATAGGCTTACAGTGATAAGAAGACATTAACAACTCCTAAATTACAAGCCCATAACTATGGTATTTAGTGTATAGGTTACATAGAATTAGAAATGGTGAATGCTAAGAGGTATGGTGGTCATCCGCCAACTCATGCATTTACAACACTTCCCTTTAGATGTCCACCATACAATGACATAGTTGCCTCATTAAAAACCTTGCTCGGAAAACCTTGTGGGACAAAACCTAAGTGAAGGGAAAAAGAGTGCACCATTCTTCTGGATCATTGATATGGTTTTGGATGCGCTTATGATGCCTCGTTAAATCCTTCATAGGAAAAACCGGGTGGGACAAAAACATAGTCAAAGGGAAAAGAGTACAACGCGCATATGTCCTATATGAAGAAAATTGTTGAATCCTCCCCCTGATGAATTACTCCCCCTGATGATGACAAATTTGAATTATTTGAAGATACAACACAAATGATATTGATATCTCATTTTTCTCATGCAGAGCAAGCTTTGGTAATGCTTTGTATAAAAATTTCTTCAATATCATCATTGTAGGATGTATGTGTGTCATTTCTTTGAATCCCTATTGAGGTTAGAGTAATACAAAAAATATCTAGACTATTTTCACAAATCCTTTCACATTAACAATTCTTAAAATAACATCATCTTCTATAATATAAGCAAACTCATACATTACCGTTACAAGGACAAGAGTATAAGATTGCATGATGTAATAAGCTATTCATATAAATTTGTGTATATTATGCTAGCATGTCATGGGGTCTTCAAGAGACCTAAATATTCTGATAATTTCTTTAAAAAGTTGAATACGTTGCAATGATATTGAACTTGATCTCAAACTCATAATTTAATCAAAGTACTCACTGAGGCAATTAGATCACTTTCATTTCATGATATTTGAATACATACATTGAGCTTCGGGCTCCTTAACGTTTTTAGTAATTTTCTTTCAATAATTTATATAACGTATGACATTTTGCATCTCTTAGAATTTATTCCTATGTATTCTTCAAAAGATCACTTCTGGCGATATGCTTAACTTCATAATCTTTTTAGATTTTTATATAAATGCAAGTCTCCATAAATATGTAGTGAACATGCTTCGTAAGAAGAAACATGGATGCATCTACATAATATACTAAGAGAATATCATAAAAGTTCCATGTCTTTACATGGATACATTTTGTCATATCAAGTGATTTTATTTCACTACATCAGAAACACCAATTTGTAAACTATACAATTTCATATATTTTGGTGTTTGAACTGTAGGTCTGTTTCTTCCACGTTTTCCAAAAATATTCAATTTTATTGGACTGCCTCTTCCAGTTTGGCCAATCTTTCTTTACATTGTCAATAATCATAATAAAACATAGATCAATATCATCATAGCCCTTCATAACTTTAGTACGTACTATATATAAATAGTATCATTGATGATCATCAATTTATAAACCCACATTTCTCTTTTTGCATGTATAAGATATAAACATTTTCATAGCCATTGGGTACCCATGCCTCTTCAAGGGCTCTCATTGTTTTCTAGTGGACTTATGTCTTCTTATAAGACTATATCTCTTCCGAGATTAAATATATAGGAAATGTGGATATTTCATATAGTATTATATTATTTGGGCTGCATGGACCTTTTAATATAGTCTCAAGTTCAACGGAGCCAATTGTGGACTACTTAGGCACACAACTAGATAAATCATTTGCCACCACTTTAGATTGCCTAATTATGACATCAGCATTTTGATGTGATTTGTCACTTCAGTTGTATTTTTAAATGCTTCTAAAAATTGACTTGCAATCTTCTAGATTGTGGTTTCTTTTCTACCTTATTTTCACATTAGGTGGCACAAAATTTTGATGAAACAATAATGAAATCATTTCATAACAATTTACATCGTTCTTTAGGAACAATCTTTTCTCCCCCTAACGACAGGAAATTGGTCTCATCAAAATAATGTTCTGATTAGAGTGGTAAGTATTGTCCTCCAAGACCAAATATAAATAACAAAAAGATAATAACGTGGAGCAAAATCTTCATGTTTGCTCAATATATAGTGTAACATAAACACCATGGTTTCCAAAACTATTCAATCAAAAATAAAATTTTCACATCATAAATTATTATAGATAAAAAAAACTTATGGTTCTTATCAGAAAATGAGTTCATATGAAGCAAATTATGATTAATATACTTCTAGCACGAGACCATAAGTATCGGTCATGTTTATTCATAATTTCAACATTAACTCTATTATGTGTATGTATGAATCTATGTAAGTTTCTTCTGGAACTAAGTAATATCAAACATTGTAAGTATATAATTTGACCTATCAATAGCTTTTAGTCATGTTTGCAAAACCTAATAAGATATTTACCAAAATAAATGGTAGTTAAACTCAAAAATAATTTCAACTCAAATAGTTCTGTGTATTGTTTTACTAGCAATAAATATCATAATTCTTGGAGGCTTTCTCATACAAGCCCTCCCTTTATACTATTTAACTTCAAAAATATTGCACTTCCGGGATAATGTGTAAGTGACATTTATTTCAAGAAATGATATAGAGCTTACACTTGCTTAAGGGAATTATGTAATGCTTATATTTCTTTAGGAAATAATAGATCCAATCATATGAAATTCGTGGATGCGTAATAAAGGTCTTTTTAAATAAATAAATAAATAGTATAGCAACACGACTATACCCCTTAATTTCTATTTATGGAGTATAGTCGAGCAGCTAGACTTGTAATGTGAGAAACTGTAAAAATATATATAAATATATATAATAATTATTCATACTACATATTAATTATTTATTAATATGAGTTTTTCTTAGTTAAATATTTTTTGTCAATGCTTATATATTATTAAATCTTAAGCCTAGTATGAGATTATCCCTTTAGTTGAAAGATGACACCATTCTTGTTTTCCACGTGTAGAGACTTAGAATTGGTTTTAATCAAATCATCATTGCCATGCCACCTTGCATGTTAGTAACAAGTGGTGTTGTGATATCATTGGGTTGACTCACATTATTTCCTTATCTTTCTATCTTATCTTTTGGTGGTGGTGTTGCGATAACATTGGCCAAAGAGGGATAAGTCATATTATTCCCTTACTTCTATCTTATCTTTTGGTGGTTTAAAATATTGTATATATAAATATTATTTGGGTGCATCCATAGCCTCTCCTACAAGTATCATGCTTCCTTACTTCAATCATTCATTCCAATCCTTTGAGGTAGATTTCTACCATGAAGTAGTGTTAGAGAGAGAGAGAGAGAGAGAGAGAGAGAGAGAGAGAGAAGATGAAGAGTGCGTGTGTGTTTGTCTTGCACTATTTCATACTTATCATGGTGACTGGATTATATAATATGTTCTAAAAGTTCTTATTTTGTGATAAATGTGAAAATATGTTTACAAACTTCTTTCTATTTGCAAGTCAAGTATGTCTAATTTGAGCAATATTTCACACAGTATTATTTGGAGTTTTTGTGAAGTATGTATTATTCATGGAACATGAGAACTTCAGTGATAGGGCATCCGAAGGATAAATGTACCAGATGGGACATAGGGCAGTAAGGCCGATAGAGGTCTTGTATTGGGTACAATTTGTGAAGGATAACCAAGATATGAAGTAATGATGTGATATGGTTTGGATTGTGTATCTTTTTATTATATTTTTATAGATAGTGTAAAATGACATTGCTTGACTGACATATTACATAATCTACTCAATGAGCGGTGGTTTGTTCATCCTTCACCTATTTTGTTTTTCAGATCAATTAGTGGGCAAGACAAAGCTGAAACCAGAGAAGTTGGATTAGTTTAGAGTGATAAACTTTTATTTATATATTATACACTTGTAACATTATTATAATTTTATTTATAAATATAATGGTAACGTATTTTAAACAAATTTTCAATCTTTTTATTTATTTCTTTCAATTCACTCACCCTGATTCGAGAATATTCTTTATTCTCGGATCGGGTCGTGACATGTAAAATTTCTATTTATAGCTTATAGCCGTGCGACTATACTATTTAAATTTCAAGCATAGCTACGCGGCTATGCTTTTATAATTTCTACTTATGGGTTCTAGCCGTGTGGCTGTCCTTTAAAATATTCTATGTTTTCACCAAAGAAACAATAATTAAAGTAATTAAAAAAATACTATAATATTACTTAATTCCATTTATTAAATAACAGAAGCTGGGAAAAAAAGAGAGTAAATAGACTCATTTTATACTTTTAACGAGAATAGCCGTGCAGATATACGTTTAAAACATTTAGAGCATACAGTCGCCAACTACACTATCAAAATATTGTATTTAACAGGTATAGCTGGGCAGCCATATCGTTATAATTTCTATTTATGGCGTATAGCAAGGCGGCTAAACTTGTAAAATCCCCTTATAGTATATAGCCGCCCGGCTATACTTTTAAAATTTCTATTTATACAATATAGCAGCGATACTATTAATATATTGTATTTAGGGAGTATAGCGGCTATACTATTATAATTTCTATTTATGGGGTATAGCCGCGAGGCTCTACATGAAAAATTTCTATTTATATCGTATTCCCGGGCGGCTATACTCTAAATTTCTATTTATACAGCGGCTATACAGTTATAATTTCTATTTATGGGGTATAGCCGGGCGGCTTTACGGGAAAAATTTCTATTTATAGAGTATAGCCGCACGGCGATACTTTTACAA